TTGTTGTTTTGGAGCATTAGTGCTTGGTGGTTGTGTTTGATGTTCAGATATACAGAGCTTTGCCTTATTGTTTTTAGGAGCAAATTTTCTTTAGCTTGTAATTATAGGCCTCCATTGGTTTGACAGTTGTGTTGGATTCTTTGAGATTTTTAGACATTAGTATATTTCTAAAAAAAGATAATGGTGGTCCATGTAAGGGGCATTGAGGTCTCTCTCTGGTCTTGTCCATTCATTATTCAACAAATGAAAAGTATTTTCATTAGGCATCTCTCCAATCATGAGATAATATGGTCAGCATGATAGAAAATATCTCTTTGAACTCGAAGGTTTCCATTCTCTTGAAAGGAATAAAAGGTTGGGATAGATGGCAACATAATCTGACTTGTTTTGATAATTATAATAAGGAAAACCAGGAAAGAGGGGAGCCATGACTAATGGTAAACTGTCTGACTATCAAGGAGACTACTCAATGGAGGATCAGCCTGGAGGATAAGGAAAGGTCATCCAACAACAAAGGAGGAAATAGACTTCCAGTAGATAGAACAACCCCTTCAAAGACCTCCAAGTGTGAGTTTGTGATGTGAGGGGAACAGAGTTATGTCTGGAGTATGAATGAATGGGAATGGAAGTAGACAATGGTTAAGTCAATTATTATCTGACTGGCCAGTATTAGATTTCATTTTAAGAGCATTAAGAGGACAATTCAGGACTGTGTGTGTGTGTGTGTAGGGGGGCATTTTTTGTCATTGCTCCTGTTTCCAAAGAATCCGAAGAGAATTCTTGGCTGATGATACAGTTCTCATACTCTCTATCCCTAACAGCACCCCACCCACATAGTCTCTGTCCTGTCACTGTGGTTGCTTATCTGTCCTCTCTACACTCAGCTTTCCTCATTCAGTTCCTTCACATTTTCTGACAAGCAAAGCTGTAAATAATCAGTAATTCTTGGCTTTCAATCATTACTCTTTCCTGTCTCTCATTCAGATATTTGAATCCCATCACCTACCCCTTCCTATCATTTATCACTTGCCTCGATTCTCTATTTTCCTTAATAACAAAATCATTGAAGGGTCTTTAACTCCTTTCTCTTATTCCATCATGACTGAAGGCCTTGGTTCTGGCTAAAGCCTCTCCTATAATGTCCCCTTGCCAGAATCCCTACAGCTTCCATTGCCACTGGCTTCAGGTCTCTGCTTAAAATGTTACCTCAATGAGATGGTCATTGACTCCTGTCTATCCAGCTACCCTGACCCTCCTGACTCTTACTACTATTTCAAGTTTTATATAACTTTCCATATTATTTAGCATCAATATTGTTTGGGGTTTTGATTCTCTCTCTCTCTCTCTCTCTCTCTCTCTCTCTCTCTCTCTCTCTCTCTCTCTCTGTGTGTGTGTGTGTGTGTGTGTGTGTGTGTGTGATTTATTTTCATTTTACTTTTTATTTTTGGACAAGGTCTCACTATGTAGCCCAAACTAGCTTGAAACTCACAATCATCTTTTGTCCCAGCCTCCCAAGTACTGAGACTATGGTATGAGCTACCACACCTGACAGTATGAACATTCTTAAGCCCTGATGAACATTAAAGTCATGTTTGTTCTAGTATGCAATGCCTTGATCATCTACAATCTGAACAGTATTTACAATGCAGAGTAGTTGAGGTGAATTGTATCTCTAACTGGAGGATTTGACATGATTGGGTTCTTCTGTTCCAGTCCTGATTCAAGAGTTGTGGTGGATGAATAAGAATGGGCCTACAGGCTCATTGATTTAAATGAGTAATCACCAGGGAGTGGCACTATTTGGAAGGATTAGGAGATGTGGCCCCATTGGAGGAAGTGTGTCACTTGGGGTGGGCTTTGAAGTTTAACCGGCCCAAGCCAGACCCAGTGGCTTGCTCTTCCTGTTGCCTGCAGATCTGTATGTAGAACTCTCAACTACTTCTCCAGCACCATATCTACCTGCACATCACCATGTTTCCTGCCATGATGATAATGGGCTAAACATCTGAAACTATTGGAAATCCCCAATGAAATGCTTTATTTTATACAAGTTGCAATGGTCATAGCATCTCTTCACGGCAATATAACACAGACTAAGACAGAGTCATACTCACTGTACCAAATGTGACCCTTCTAAAGGGATCACTTCCTCACCTGAGCTCTAGTCCTAAAGAAATAGATGCTTCCCAATAGAAATAGGTGCTTCCCAACCCCAAGAAGAAGACAGCTTGTCACAGCAAAATCCCAACACAGGAAACAGTCCCTGTATCATTGATACAGGAAACATTTCTCATCTGTGGCACATAACCTGGGTGAGTTTAGGAACTGGGTCATCAAAGCCCCATTCAAGGCATGAGGTTTATAGTATACAGGAGAATGAGGAATTTCACATGTTGGGGAAACCATGGTGCAGACATAACATAATAATTCACTGGGGCAACAGTTGAGATAACAAAGTCCCGGGTGTGAAGGTCACAAATATGAGATGGTGTCATCTTTAAACGGGGTGATTTCTTAATTAAGTGAAAACTAGATAGTGAAGTCCCTGCCTTAACAAGCTGGGTGTACTAGAAAAGGAAACTCCAGTCATCACTGAGAGGAGAATATGACAGTTTCCAGTCTCAACTGTAGCTAACCAAGATGTTCTGCCATGACTAAGACATACTCACAATTTGGACACACGGACCATGACTTTTGGCCACCATGGGAACTCCTTTAAGCTCTCTGTGCCATCCTTTCTTTTGTTCCTGAAAGGACACAAAATGAAGCCTCTGGCTTTCCTTTGCAGAGAATATAAGGAATTCAAATCCAGGGGAGAGAAGAGAGTAAGAAAGTTCACCAAGTCCTCGAAAATCAGGGGCAACAGAAGACGAGTACAAAGAGTAATGCAGACTGCTGTCACAAGCACAGTCTGGTAGAGGAGCCCTGCAGGAGGGCGTTGTTCCTTGAACGATCTTTTCGCACATCATATGTATCATGTCCTTTTCTTCTTGCTGTAACAAAATACCTAAAAGCAACAATTTATTGAGGTGGGTGGGACCTATAAAGTGACAGGCCAGCCAGAGACCCCTTCTAAAAATAAAATTGAATAAAATAAAGATATCAGTTGAAGATGATACCTGGAGTCGATATCTGTCCCCACAAGCTCACACAAATGTGTACCCACCCACCCTCATACTGACATTCTCTCTCTCTCTCTCTCTCTCTCTCTCTCTC